TATGTGTGTGTGAGGGGTGTGGGGAGGGTTTTTAAAGCTTATTTGGGACTGCCAGGAGTGGCAACCAGGTATTAGGATAAAGATTGCTTCGTTCTTCACTGATTACTTCTGATTACTTGTCTTAAGGACTTTAGGCTTACAGAAACTACATTAGTAAGAAGTCAAGGTGTATTAGTTATCTATTGCTGTGTAACACTGCAACTACAAACTTGGCAGCTTAAAACAGCACACTTTTCTCACAATTTATGTGGATTAGGAATATGATCATGGCTCTCAGCTGGATCTTCTGCTGAGTGTCTCATAAGACTAATGAGGATGTTAATCAGGATTGAGTTCTTCTCTGGAGCTTTGACTGAGGAAGGATCCACTTCCCCATTCATGGTACCTGGCAGCACTCAGTTCCTTTGAGCTATAGGACTGAGAGCTTCAAGTTTTTGCTGTCAGTTGGCCAGAAGTAACCCTCAGCTCCTTGCTACATTGCAGTGGTGAACATGGCTGCTTGCTTTCTTATAGGCAGCAGAGGAGAGACCAGTAAAATTGATGAGGCAGGTATCATAGGAATAACCTTACGAGTGTGTCCTCACAGGAGTTGTAAAATATAGGAGGTAATCTGCTAAATATATTGTAGCACATACTTATAAAAAGGAACCATAAATGCAAATGTTGGGATGAGAAAGTATTGGCCTCATTTTTAGAACTGAGTTAATTTACCACTAGGTGGTGGTGTAGTTGTTAGGCTTAAGAAACTACTACATTTATAAAAAGCTCTTTGCTCTGCATCTTTTGAATTAGGATGGAAGAGTGGGGTGCCTGCCGCAATGCTGAAAATATACCAGAGGGCTACAATAAAGGAACAGAAGAAACCAAGGTTTGATATTTTCTAAGGCAAAGAATTTTGATTCTCTTGGCTTGCAGCATCATGACTTAAACTAGTTAAAGTCAGATAGTATATTCTAGTTATATGGGTTGAGGGAAGAGTTGGTCATTTTCTTTTGTGAAAGTGTTACCCATCTTTAAACTTATATGTGTGCTTAATGTTATTTGAATTCTTATTCTTATGGAATTTTAGATTTCTCAGAAGAAACCGAACACTTCAGAAATTTCAGGAGCAATATGCTTTTAAGCTAAATATTACAAAGCCAATATTTAATTTGTAATCAGTCTTCGGATGCTAAGGATTTTTTCATGAAGAAATTCAATGACTATCTTTATTTTGTTCAAACTAGGTGATAATCATGGTTTAAAGTTGGAGAAACAGGAGAAATTTTACCACCCCTATGGGACTAAAATAGGCCTTTGGTTTGAGGCCAGCTAAACAAGGCAAATACTATTATAGCAATCTCTGTGTATACCTGAGGTGCTTGTAATTTTGGAATAGTATTGAATATAGTGAAATTCTAGGAAAGCAGAAGAAAAGTGGTAGTTTCTTTGGAAATTTTAACAGGATTTGACAAAATGAATTAAACTTCAGATAGTTCCAGGGGATTTTAGAGTACAGAAATACTTGTACCTCCATGTGTATATCATGATGACACTTCCTGAAGAGCTTTGAATTTTTAATCCTGGTTTGTGATGCATTAGTTTATATGGGATGTGTCCTGAGTTGCTTCCTGCTTTAGCCATTATTTCCCTTCTGCCATCTAAAACCTTGAATGTTACTTGCATATTACTACTATAATCTCCTGATTTTTAAAATATGTGGCAAAATTTATCATGCAATTTATTTCTTGTTTTAATAAAGAACAACATGTACTTCTTTTTTTAAGAAGAAAGAACCTTAATTCTTCCTTCTTCATAGAAAGAAGACTAAGGATTGTCAGTTTGTAGCATGATTATTTTTGTTTTAGTCTCCAGAAAATCCATCAAAGATGCCCTTCCCCTATAAGGTGCTGAAAGCCCTGGATCCAGAAATCTATCGTAATGTAGAGTTTGATGTTTGGTTGGACAGCAGAAAAGGTAATGAAATATCAACAGGATACTTTTGAATCCAGGAGACTAATTTTGCAAATTATGTTGAACATCTCTTAAATACTGTTATAAAATCAGCTTGGTACTTTTTATCTTACTCCATATATGATTTAAATCCAAAGGACGGAACACAGCTTTAGAAGTGGCAGGGATCTTTTAGAGTCTGATGTTTGCCTGGGACTTCAACTTTAAAAAGACTATGTCGAGATAATCTTTAGATAGCCTTATGAAACTTTTAATGACTGAAAACAGGCTCATCTTAAATTTCATGTGTTACGACCACCTTCTTTGATAAATCAGTAGGTTAGGGCTGTGGGACAGCCTAACTCACCAACTGTTTTTGTGTGGTCCATGAGCTAAGAATGGTCTTTAATTCTTAAACGGCAGAAAAAATTAAAAGAATAACATTGTGACACATGAAAATTATATAATTCAAATTTCAGTGTTCATAAAATTTTACAGCAGAGTTTGAGTAGTTCTGAGTAGTAGTTATGGCCTAAGAAACTGAAAATACTTACTTTCTTGCTCTTTGCAGAAAAAATTTACGAATCCATGAAATGGGTCATTGTTTTTCTCCTTATAAGATATCTAAAGTGATAAACCTAGGCCTTAAAGTTTTGCCTTCAAGATAAGCCTTTAATATTTCACATTCAACTCCTTGAACCCTGAAAAACCTAGCTAATGTCTCTTATAGAGACAATCTAGAATGAGGTTAAGACCTTGGGAAGCACAGTAAGTTGTTGTTTTTAAAAAAAAAAAAAAAAAAAAAAAAAAAAAAAAAAAAAAAGATTGATTTGAAGAAGCTGAATAGTGTTACTTTCAATTGTACCTCTTTAGTGTTTGACTGTCTCAGGTTACAAACTCCCAATTTCCACCTATTTATTTTTTAAAGCACAAAATTTTTCTGGAAGGTCTCTTTAAATTGGCTGCAGAAATAACCCGTCAAGAATGATAGACTGGCCCTTTGGAGCTTTAACCCTATTTTTACTTATAATGGTAGTGCTGTCAAAGGCACTATCGTAAAAGTAAATGAGAAATTAAATGATATAGGAAAGGAACCAGTAAAGTTGAGCTTGAATCTTCATTTTCTTTTAATAGAACTTCAAAAATCTGATTACATGGAGTATGCTGGGAGACAGTACTATTTGGGAGACAAGTGTCAGGTTAGTTCCTTCTTCAAGAATCAGTAATTTGTTTAAGAATATGCTTGCAGTCATAATATGAGTTGAGCAAGACTTACAAAGTACTAGAAACTTTTTTTTTTTTTTGCTTTGTTTGTTTATTTTTCTAAAGAGATAGGGTCTAGCTCAGTTCCGTCGGCTGGAATATAGTGGGATGCTCATGGCTCATGAATTCCTGGGCTCAAATGATCCTTCTTCCTCAGCCTGTCTAGTGGCTGGATCTACAGGCACGTACCATCATGCCTGTCTAATTTCTTTAATTTTTATTTTCTCTTATAGAGACAGGGTCTCACTGTGTTGCCCAGGCTGGTCTCATTTCTGGCCTCAAGTGATCCCCTCACCTTGGCCTCCCAGTGTTGGGATTACAGGCATGAGCTACCACGCCCAGCCTAAAAAAATGTTTTTTTTTTAATGTTTGTGTTACATTTTCATTACAAATTTGGTGATTAGATGTAAGGTTCTTTCAGTATGTGCTACCTCCATGCATCCAGACTGGCAGTGTTGAGATGAATAACTTTAAAAAGTAGACACTGAACTCCATTTGGAAAAAAGTGGTCTTTTGTTTGGCAGTAGCCATATCTGTCACTGGCCTTGAGACTAGATGTATTCTCTTTTCAGGTTTGCTTGGAATCAGATGGAAGATATTATAATGCTCATATCCAGGAAGTTGGAAATGAGAACAATTCAGTAACAGTCTTTATTGAAGAATTGGCAGAAAGGTAGGAATATTATAATTTAAATTACTAAAATCTTTGGTTCCTGGTTCCATTTGGTAATATTAAATAGAGAATTACCAGGATGCTAGTAAGATAATCAGAATTTTATCTGGTATTGGCCTAGGGTGACTTACCTTGAATTATAAAAGCATGTGCTGAAGTATGAAATCTCAATATAGGTATTAGATATGTATGAAAGTTTTCAAATCTTAGTCACTAGACTACTTATTAGAAATACTAAGTACAATAGAATTCTGAAACAAAACTGTTCATAGTAATTGGCAAGTTGGATTACTAACTGAGCCTCTGCCAGTATAAAAACAAGCTAATTTAGTCTTTCTCAAACTTTACCATGCACCAGAATTCCCTGGAGGGCTTGTGAAAACACAGATTAGTGAGCCCAGTCTCTGAAGTTTCTGATTCAGTAAGTCTGAGGTGGGGCTCAAGACTTTTAATTTTGAACAAGTTTCCAGGTGGTGCTAATGCTGCTGGTCCACTTTGAGAATCATGAAATGAGGTTATGCTGCCCTAACAACCAAAACATCTTAAAACAATAATGTCCTTTCTCCTTCATTTAGCATGTCCATAGTGGGTCAGCAGATGGGATCCCGTCTAACAGAGATTCTAACACGTGCTTCCATGGTCATAGGGAATAAAATGAAAACATAACAATCCATTTTCTGGATCTTAAAATGTCTCATATTTTATTGACCAGAGTGGTTTACATTGCCAAGCCTCATGTCAATGGGGTAGGGGAATATAATTCTCCAAGGAGGTACAGCAAATATGTGTGAACTAATACAGTTTACCAGTCTTTCTTCTGAAATGTGATCGGTACTAGAAACAGCAGTGAAATTATAAAAACTACTCTTAGGTTTTCTAACCTAAAAAAAGGGGAAGCTGTTGTCAACCAGGTTTTAATAGAATACACTTGAAGTATAAGGGGTGGGATACATATTTTGAATGAGAGTTAAGTCTGTGTTGCAATATCTTCATGGTGATACCTTTAACTTTTAAGGCACGTTGTTCCACTGGCTAACTTAAAACCAGTTACCCAAGTGATGCCTTTTCCTGCCTGGAATGCTATGCCCAGTCGTAAAGGAAGAGGTTACCAGAAAATACCTGGGGGATATATCCCAGAAATGGGTTTGTATGCTAAAGGTTTTTTTTTCCCCCTTCATGCACTCCCTTTAACTTACCTACATTGTACTATTTTTTAAATGTATGTAATATGTCTTGTTGTAGGGTAGATTTTCTCAATTTCAGCACTACTCATAATGGAATGGATACTATTTCATTGTTGGGGGGCTGTCCTGTGCCTTGTAGGATGCTTCACAGCGTCCCTGGCTTCTTATCCACTAGATGCCAGTAGCATCCTCTGCCTAGTATGACAAACAAAAATGTTTCCAGACATTGCCAAATAGTCTCTAGGGGAGGGAGAGGTAAGATTGTCCCTTGTTGAGAACCATGGTTCTTAAGGGACTTTGTGTAAACTTAAACACTCATATGTGAGAGCTAAAAAGAAAAAAAAAAAATTGATCTTGTGGAGATGAGTAGAATGATGGTTACCAGAGGCTCAGAAGGGTGGTGAGGATTGGGGATAAAGAGGAATTAGTTAATGGGTACAAAAATAGATAGTAGGATTAAGGTCTAATATTTGGTAGTGTAATAGGGTGATTATAATTAATAATTGTGTGTTTCAAAATAACTGGAGGACTGGATTTGGAATGTTCCCAACACAAAGAAATGGTAAATGTTTGAGGTGATAGATACCCTAATTACCCCGATTTGATCATTACACATTGTATGCTTGTATGAAAATACTGCATGTACCCCATAACCTACTGTTCTGCACTTATAAAAATTAATTAAAAAAAATTAAGCTGACATGGATCTTAGACTCTAAAACTTCAGGGGAAAATATTTCTTAGAGAACTAGAAAAACACCTCATAGAAGCAGCCAGGGATATTAACAGGCATAATTTATTAGAGAATAGTAATGTATGTGATTGGATGACTCAGTATTTTTGTTTTGTTCTGTTTTGTTTTCAAGGAGTCTCTGACACCCAGGCTGGAATCAGTGGTGCAGTCTTGGCTCACTGCAACCTCTGCCTCCTGGGCTTAAGCAGTTCTCCTGCCTCAGCCTCCCAAGTAGCTGGGATTACAAGTGCACACTACCATGCCCGGCTAGTTTTTGTATTTTTAGTAGAGAATGGGGTTTTACCATGTTGGCCAGCCTGTTCTCGAGCTCCTGATCTCAAGTGATCCACCTGCCTCAGCATCCCAAAGTGCTGGGATTACAGGCATGAGCCACCACGCCCGGCCATGGATAACTCAGTGTTTTGATGACCTATACTAACCTGCCCATACTGGGAATAGTTCCGAGATATACCTCTTGATACAGAAATTACCTGCTGGTTTTGCCCTTCCAAATAAAAGATCTAGCATATCCTTCAAAAATACAAAAATTCCCTCCCTACATTTATTTGGTTTGTTCCTAGGGGAAGCATTGGAAATTTTAAGGCAGTGTGGTGGTAAGAGTACACTGGGCCTTCTGCTGTGGTTATGAAGCTTATTTGCTACTTCTTTGTTTGCCTGAAAGTTATATCAGAGATGGACATGAGGCAACAGAAGAAGATGTTCAAGAAAGTTCGAGGGAAAGAAGTGTACATGACTATGGCTTACGGCAAGGGAGACCCCCTCCTCCCACCCAGGCTACAGCACAGTATGCATTATGGGCATGATCCTCCAATGCACTACTCAACAGCTGGCAATGTTATGTCTAATGAACATTTTCATACTCAACATCCATCTCCAAGACAAGGTCGAGGATATGGGATGCCCAGGTAAAAAACATTGATAGATTTGTATTTTCATTGTCTAGGGAAATATGAAGCAGTTGAAGAGATATAAGAAGATAGAATGCCGTCAAGATGAGTGTCTGTGTGACATACAGATTGTATTTCCTTAATAATAGTCTTAATGCCCGTATTGCAGAGAGCAGAGCTCTTTCTAGTTGAATGTATTTAGAAAGATGGGTTAGTTCTATTTGAGTACAGAGACTGACTACTTAGGGTTAGTGAATAGAGGGTTCTATTTCCCTTTCCCTTTATTCTTAGAAATTCGTCTTGGTTTATAAACAGGCACAACATGCCGGGCCCTAAAGTTGGTTTTTACCCAGGCCCAGGTAAAAGGTGCTGCCAGAACTATGATAACTTCTCTTACAGATCTCGGTAAGTATTGTGTTGAGAGAAAATGGGTAAGCCTGATTTCATTGCTGAACATTAATGTTTTAAAAAGTGTCAACTTTGAGATATTTGAACTGTTATTTGTAAATTAGGAGCAGGTTACTGTATTTCATCATTTCTACTTTTTAATTATTTGAACCACTTAAGTTCATTTAGACGTAGTCACCGCCAGATGAGTTGTATGAATAAGGAGTCCCAGTATGGATTTGCTTCAGGGAATGGACAAATGCCCAGGGGCTTGGAAGAAACGATTACTTTTTATGAAGTTGAAGAAGGGGATGAGACTGCTTATCCAACTTTACCTGTGAGTGGATCAAAGCTTTACTCAAAAAGCTGTTTACTTGTTTCATTTATTTTTTTGAAGTAAAGGCAATGTGGATAAATTTTAGATTTTGTACAAATAAACCAAGCCTTTTCTGGAAAATGACAATGAGAAAAGAGACATTTTCTCCCACCTGTTCCTAGAGAAGGGAGTAGAGGTAGACTAATAATCTTGCCTATATAGTATGGGTGGATATTTTCTATTTTCTTGATGATTACTTCATATGTTTTGTATTCTAAAGTGCATGGAAAACATTTAATTACGGAGTTCTCTTACAACATCAGTTCACATTGTTAGGCTAGTTTTTTAAAGTGCCTTTTAAAACATTCCTCTAGCTTTTTTTTTTTTTTTTTTTCTGACTGTATAGTGAGAACTACAGTGTATGTGTGTCTCTTTGATGCAGAATCATGGAGGTCCCTCTACAATGGTTCCTGCTACTTCAGGATGCTGTGTTGGAAGGCGGGGACATAGCTCGGGCAAACAGACTTTGAATTTAGATGAGGGCAATGGCCAGAGTGAAAATGGTGAGTCAGTAACAGTTAAATATTTTTTAAAAGATTCTTGTGTCATTAGCACATCAGGGCAGTGAAGTAGACCAATTTGTTTTTGGGGTCTCTCTCTGTTTCAGTAGCATAATTTTGAAAGAGTTATATAAGTTCTTATTGCTTGCTGGGTTTTGAATATGTCCTGGTATTTCTCAGAATAATGGACTTCTATTTCAGTAGGCTGCTACATTGTTATAACTTGTTTTCAGCTCTCTGCCTAGGTCTTTATTGAGTTTTGACTTTATGTCAGATATCATTATGGAAAAATCTATTCCTTATTAGTAAGGCATTGTTTATAGTTGTCCTCACCATTTGTATAACTACATTAGGCTTTTTGTGTGACTGGCTATTATTTTTTAAGACTGCTATGAAGTAACTTCTTTGCCCAAATAAGTCTATTTAATCTATAAACATTACTCTTTATTGAACCTTATGTGATACCCACTCTACTAAGTCATTATATTCATAATATAGTCATTCGTGTGTTCTTCTGAGGAATGTGCTATCCCTATTTTACACATGAGGAAATTGAGATTCAGAGGGCAAATGACATGGCCAAGGTCATATCCTTGGCAGAGATACAATTTTTTGTAACTCTTTTATTGAGATATAATTTACATATCATACAATTTCAGCTATTTAAAGTATACAATTCCATGGTTTTTATTCAGAGTTGCATAGCATCACCACAGTTAATATTAGGACATTTTTATCACCACAGTAGTGAAACCCGGTGCCCATTAGGGCCATTCCCCATTTCTCCCAGTCCCCAACCCTTCGCAATCATCAGTCTGTTTTCTTTCTCTATTGATTTGTCTCCTCTGGACATTTTATATAATTGGAATCATACACACACACACACATACCCTTAACAGTTTTTTTATATTGCCTCCTACCATGGAATGTGTTTATTTTTACTTTTAAAAGATACTGTATGTGCCTATTGTAATAATTGTGGAGCATTGAATGGCTTGAGGCATTCCGAATGACTTATTAATAAGTTCCTTATTTTCTTGTGGTATTGTTTTTTTTTTTTTTTTTGTTACTAGTGTAGACGAAAATAGATATTTTTTAGGAATTTAATAAGTGAAAAAATCTAGTACACGAATGATTTGTGAAAACTTTGTACATGTGTCCATGCATGTGTTTAAGGACATTTACTGTCTGCTGTTATTTACATGACCCTTTTGTCTTTTAACCAAATCTTTGCTCCCACTTTAAATCTGGAGGAGTTGCATGTGTGTTTGATAAGTGGTGTGTTTTAGAATCAGATTTACTTTAGAACTGTGGGGTTATATTTGTCGGAAAACCATCCAATTGAGTATTGACTTTGCATTTCAGTGGTACAGAAATCTTAAAATACTTCAGTCTGCTGAGCCATCCTTTGAGGACACACTGATTTTGCATGTATTACTTACATGAAACAGATTGAAAAACAGATGAGGCATAACATATTCCCTTAATGTCCACCAAAGGAAACAGTGGATTATACTCATACTTTGCATGACCATTGAGTATTTAGTATATGTAAAGCAATATGCTAAGTTATTTTCACTTCTATTAACCATCCTCAAAACGCCTATGAACTAGGCACTGTTATTCCATTTTACAGTGAAGAATTGAGGCATAAAGATTAAATACTTGCCTAAAGTCATGTAGTTAATTACAGTTCACATCTAGGCAATCCTCACTCCAGAGCCCATGTGCTTAATCACCACACTGTAGCCTCCCTGGAAAAATTGGGCACAAGTGAATTTTCACCTCTGTCTGACCTCTAAGAGCTAAGCAAATTTTCAGAGGTGAGATTTGTAAAGTTTACAGCTAATCTCTGTCTTCAGTATTTGTTGACTAGTCTGAAAGCTCATATCACTTTCCAGGATGTATGCACTTTAGTTTTGAGCATATAACCATAAAACTGGAGGAAAAAGCAAGTGCTGACCATTTGGCTCTGCTGAGCTAAAAAGACCTATATAAACACAATTCTTGTGTCTTTTTTTCCCAGGGGGATATCATGAAGAATGTCTTTATCCTGCAGGTCAGTAAGATCTATAAATCATCTGACATTCATCATTGTTTATAGAATTTCAAGCTATAAAATAATGCTCATTTTTTACTTTGGCTATATTCTCTAGAGCCAGACTATGAAACTTCAGGTGTTTATAGCACAACTGCATCTACAGCAAACTTGGTAGGTATTTAATAATAGCAAAGAGTTATAGCTTCTACTATTTACTAGGGTACTGTTAAGAGCTATACATATAAATGTATTTAAATCAGAACAACCCTGTGAGGCTTAGTATCATTCTCCTTTTGAAGATGAAGAAATTGAGACAGAAATTAACTTATTTTCTGGAATTAATCTATTTAGAGATATTCTAACAGCAATAATGATCTTTTAGAAGATTTTATGATTTTTTATTAGAATGGATCATAAATCTCACTTAATATAACAAAAGTTTGCTTCTCCCTTATGCTAGTAGAGGTCTATAGAAGGGCTTGCTCAGGTACTCAGGCTGATGGAAGTTTGTCCATGATTGCTAAGGCAGGAAATAAAATTTGGTAAATGGTGCACTGGCTTCTACAGCTTCCACCAGAGATGATACATGTCACTTTCTTTTCCATTTCACTGGCCAGAGCAGGTACCACTGAAGAGTTTAACTTCTCTGTGCCTGAAAGGCAAAAAGAAACATTTTAACAGTGCTAATAGCTATATCATTCAACTTGCTCTCTCTCTCATAGGCAGAACACTTGTTTCTACCTCAAAGGAGGCATCCTAAAAGGTCCCATTCAGTGTAATCAAACTCATAGCCTAAGATTTCTGGGCTGTGTGTAGTACTTGTTATATTGGGTCCAGATGTGGCTTCTTGTGATCTTGAGACCAAAAACCAAAAATGCAGATTTTTTTTTAACCTCTCTCCCCAATTTACAATGCTGAAGCAGGCACTGAAATTCCCACTCAGAAAGGGGGAAAATGGGAGATAAAAAACAGTTACTGTCCTGTAGCCATTCTGAGACCTTTATGGGCAAACGTTATAAGTTCCCCCAGCGTACTCATGGGGACTCTTCCCTGAAGAGTTATCTTGTTCATTTTCTGAGGCTCTTGGCTACTCCCAAGGCCTATCCTTACTTGGCAATATTTCAAGTAGGCATTGGAGAATAATCCTTCCTTGGCAACTGAGCAGCTTTCTAAGCTTGCTACTTACAGAAGATTTGGAGGCCCAAGGGTGGTTTTATCTCAATTGAATGGTTTTAGTTTTGGCTCATGATTTCTTTGGCTGCGAGATTATTTTATTCTGCTTCTTTTGGTTTCATGTACCAATAACCATACTACAATTCTTTTCCATAAATATACTACTAAGACTTGCTATAATTCTTTGTGTTTTTAATCCTTATATTTTTCTCTACTTGATTGCAAGTGGCTTGAGTTTATCTTGCGTTGATGGAAGAGCCATGCCTTTTGGAAACTTTTCTACAGCCATTTTGTTGAAGTGCAAGGATTTACTAGATGTTATACCCTTAGTTGAACTCTGGCTTTGAGACATCTTATTGCATTCAGGGGTTTTTAACAAAAGAGTTGCTGCAAGGTTAAGTTTTCATGTTGTCGTTATTCAATGCATTCATCAATATTACCCTTTATAGTTTAGGGTTGAAACAATTGTTCCTTCAACCCTATGAGTCCCTGTATGCAAGGAATCTAGTCCCTCTCATTCCTGCCTGCAAACTA